TCCACTGTGTCTCTGATATACACTCTATGGATTATTTAATTAGGTTTGAATTTAACTAAATGAAAACATAAGGATGCCTTTAAGAACATACCTTTAAACCATGCCCCACATATGCATTTCTGCTCTTTTATAAAAGAGATGTAAAGAGGAACAAAATGGAAGTTTTATTTTATTACATGGTCTGGGGCTTCAGTTATTTTATTTTTAAAAATTGTTTAAAGTTTTTAATTGATACAATTTTCTATATTTATCACAGACAACATGTTTTAAAATATGTGTACATTGTGGAATGGCTAAGTTAATTATGCATTTTTTTAATGATGAGAACACTTAAAATCTACTCTCTGAGCAATTTTTAAGAATACAATATGTTATTAACTATAGTCACCATTTTGTACAATAGATCTTTTGAGTTTATCCCTCATATCTAACTGAAATGTTGTATACTTTGACCAACATTTCCCCAGTCCCTTTCTGTCCCCCAGCCACTGGTAACTACCTTTATGCTCTTTCACTTTTATGAGTTCACCTTTTTTTATTTCACATATAAGTGAGATCATATGGTATTTCTGCTTTTTAAAATTATTTCTGATTTTGGTTTTCTCATTCCCATGCAAGCTTTTCTACTTTTTACTTGGGAAAATTATTTAACTTTTCTGTAACTGCACTTGTTCATATATAAAATGAGACACCAATAATACTTAAAGAGTGCTGAGTATTAAGTGAGGTAATAACATGTAACCGACTTAGTTAATGGTAAGTGCTATATATATGGTAGCTATGGTGATTATGCTTGGGTATTTATCTACAAACAATATTGTTCTGCAAGCTTTTCTTAGTTCTTTTGAAAGAAGGCTTTTCCTATTATTGAGATTAAAGTGGAACACTTTGATGCAGACAGTGTTGTCAGTAAACCATTTGGTATGACTGACTGAAGTTCTAGCAGAATATGTTGAGGGTTGAGTAGAGTAGAAAAAACCCATCTCACTTTGAGTGTGAAGGGTAATACATCTCACGTCTCAGTGAATACCAGGGTTGGATATTTTAGAAAGACCTCTGTTTTTTGCTGTGAAATCTGTAATAAAGATAACCATTGTTTTATTTTATGCATTCAAGTCAGCTTTCTTTTTAACTACTTTTCAGTTTTTTCAAAATATAACCTGGCTTTTGGGATAACATACACTTACTTGCACATCTAACAGGAAAATGGTCATGTGAGTTAATTTTTTTAAGCAGTGAAATATCACATATATACCTTAAAGTACATAACATAAATATGTACAGCTTAACAGTTAAAAAGTGAATACCATGTTAACACTACCCAGTTCAAAAAATCAATTAATGTTAGCATACCAGAAATCTACCAAGGTCTCTGTTTGACTACAGTTCCCATCCTCTATCCTATATGTTAACCACCATTGGCCTTTTATAGTAACCCTTTCCTTACTTTTATTTACAGTTTTTACTACCAGTATGTACATCTGCAAACAATATTGATTGTTTGCCAGTGTTATAAGTTTAAAAGCAAGCACTTTTGTGTCTTGCTTATATATGTTTGTCATTTTTAATTGCATGTAGCTGTAGTCCATTGATTCCATCATATAAGTACACTATAATTTACTTGTTTTACTGTGAGTAGACATTTGAATAATTTCCAGCTGGGGCTATTATAAAAAATACTGCTGTGAACATTCTTGCCGTTGCATCCTGGTACATATGTGCACAGATTTCTGTAGTCATGCAGTAGTGTAATTGCTTGACCATAGGGAATGTATAATTTCAACTTTAATAATATCAAATTGATTTCCAAAATGGTTGTATCAATTTATAATCAGTAACGTTTCTAGTTATGGAAAAGTATGAGAAAGTTTTTCAACATTCCATTGGTGAAAGTTCTTGTTTCACATCCCTACCAACATTTTGTGTGGTTAGCATTTTTTATTTTTGCCAGTCTTTTTGCATCTCATTGTGATTTTAATTTATGTTATCTGATTGCTAGTGAGTTGGAATACGTTCAGGATTAGAGGTGTTACTTTGCCTGTGGGACATACGTTGGATACCAGCACAGTGTACTCCTAGATGAGTTTCAGTTTTCCTAGTTGCAAGTTGCAGAATTAGTTTTGGCTTACTTATGGCAAAAAGGAAAAAAAAAAAAAAAAAGAGAAAGAGAGAAGACATTGTGGGGCATATTTGTAAGACATTGGAGAGCAGTTCACAGATTCTGAAGGAAATGCTATACAGCCACGCTTTGGGAAAGGCAGGATTTCTGCAGCCTAAGGAGGCTTTACAGTGAGATGGCTACTTAAACCACCATCTCACTGTTTTAAGGTTTTAGAGAGAAAACTTGAAGTTCCCAAGAGAGAAAACCTAATAGACTCCCCATTGGATCCAAGGGCTCCTTTTGGCACTGGGGGAATTACAGTGAACCAGGCAGTCATCCTAGTTTATTTCTTCTACAACTTTTACCAGTATGTGGTAGTTAGTTGAGGTGGAAGGGTCAAAAAAAGGATTTAGAGAAAAAAAGATACATTTATTGAAGGCACAAGACCCAGCCAGAGAAAAGATAGACTTTGAAGATGTCAATGAAATTGTCAAGATGAATATGAGGTCTTTTAGGAGGCAAAAAGATATAACATCAAGACCAGTGATTTTTAACCTTTCATCAATCCCCAGCACAACAGAACACTGATTAAAGTGAGAGACAATACTATATATTTTCAGAAGGTCTTCTTTTATTGAATCTGATAAGCTTCCCTATTCCTTTCTCCTATAGAATCATTGATTTAAATGATAGAGACCAGAGGCTGAGAAGGATGTGGGGAAGGGGACGAAGTGATGTGGATAAGGGGTGCAAACACATGGTAAGATAGGAGGAATAAATTCGTGTTCCATAGCACAGTAGGGTGATTATAGTTAACAATAATGTATTAAATATTTCAAAATAGCTAGAAGAGAGGACTCGAAGTGTTCCCAAAACATAGAAATGATCAATACTCAAGATGATAGATACCCCAGATACCCTGACTTGATCATTATACATTCCATGTATGTAACTAAATATCACATCTGTCCTATAAATACATACAAATATGTAATAACAAATATATAAATTTGAAGTAGAATGGTTAGTTTCTTTTTAAGAGAAGATGACTGATTACCTTAGAGATTAATTAAGGAAAGAGGATATAGAGATGTATTTTGAGAAAAAGAATAAGTGGTGAGCTAATGCCAAATGTTTATGAAGTCTAGCTAGAGGCACTGGCAGGAATGAAGGTAAGAATGACATTAAGCAATACAAAGGCTTGAAACAACCACTGTGAAGTACGTATTTGAAAATGAATAAATATTGAGCTTTGTTAAGTAGTATTCAGCATCCTGTATTAGATATAGGGAAAAACAAAACTGAAATTGTTCAGAAATACCTGGCACTCATTCTATTAATAGTAGTTCTCTGCCGTATAGTAGGATTAGTGGAAGTGCACAGTGTGAGTGATCAGAATTTAGTTTTGCTATGAATACCTTAGCTAAAACTTAAAGAACAAAAAACCTAGTTGCACTCTAGTAAGAGACTAAAGACAATGGAAAAGAATTCTAAATTTCTTAAAGTGAGTAGAGTCAGTAGTTTGAAAGATCAATCTGGTGAATCATAGAGATTAATAATTAGAGAATTTAAAAATTTACTGAGGTTTCCACTGTTCGGGAGGTATCTTTGTTAGGGATTATGACATGAGAGACACAAAGAAATACAGATATTCCTCAGTTTATGATGGGCTTATGTCCTGTTGAAACCCACTGGAAAACTGAAAAATTGTTTAAATTGTACCATCATAAGTTGATGACTGCCTGTGTAAGACCATTGCCCTCAAGGAGCTTATAATAATAACAACTTTCATTATAATAACTAAATGTACTGAACACATTTAATCCTCACAACAGCTTTATAAAGTAGTAATACTCTTTTACATGTGAAATTTTACATGTGAAACACGGAGAAGCCAGGTGACTTGCCTAAGATCTCACAGTTAGTAAACAGGGAATCTGGGACTCAGTTCCAGGTAGTCTAACTTTGACATTTAACCCTAACAAATAGTGTATTTTATTTACATTCTGGTTGGAGAGATAGAAATATATGAAGTACCTAAAAATATTGTTTTTTGCAACATTTCAAGACACTACAAGCAATGTATAGATTTCTTACATAACTACTACTATTTATTTATATACAGGCATGTTTATATCAGGCTGTTGTGGTAATTTAAGGCATATCTTAAAGTGTGGATAAGTTTTGAGTAGACAGAAAGAGAGAACACGAACATTTCATCTGAATGCTTGACTGGGATATGAAAACAGTAAATAATTAAAGACGAGGAACATAGATAGCTTGACAATTACTGAGTTGTTTTGGCTACCTAAATATGTTTTAATATGTAGTAGAAAGGGTGAATGTTGTAGGATAAAAGCCTAAACAGTTATAACACAATATACAGTGGCTTAAGGTCAAGAGGTTTTCTTTTTTGTTTTTTTCTCACATGAGAGTACAGGGAGGTAGGTGTGTCATTGTACATCATGTCTTCACCCACGAATCCAAGTCAGCTGACGGCTCTGCTCTCTTTGGCACATGGTTTCCATTATTGCTCCAGCTTTCATCATTTCCAGCACATGGAGAGGAGAAGAACATGAAAGTACACTCTTGAAATGATTGGAAGCATGAATCACCTGTACTTGCTTGTATTCCATTGACCGGAACTTAGTTACATGACTATAACTAGGTTATATACACAAGGGTGGCTGTAAGATGTACTGTTGGAGTGGCGCTGGAGAGAATATTTAAAATTTCTGTGTAATTAAAATAATTTATATCTAAATTTAGTTGACAAATTAGCCCTTTAGCTAAGATTGATTGACTCTTTGTGTGATGGACTCTTAAAATTGTTGGGGTGTGGGGAAAGAGTATGACCAAAACGTAAGTATGTAATTGCTTTATTTTGCTTTTATTTTAGCTTCCTTGTGGTCATAGATGCAAAGAGATGTGTCATCCTGGTGAATGTCCCTTTAATTGCAACCAGAAGGTAAAACTTAGATGTCCTTGTAAAAGAATAAAAAAGGTAAATATTTTAAGTTATTGAAAATATTTTTCTATATAAGTTGTTTTTGTTTGGTTTGGTTTTCTTGTTTTTGTTTTTTGGCCTGGATGTTTTGGTAGTTCTTTTTCTGTATTTTTTTGCCTTTTAGTTTTAAGATTTTACTTCAGAGACCCTTTTTTTTTTTTTTGAGACGGAGTTTCGCTCTTGTTACCCAGGCTGGAGTGCAATGGCGCGATCTCGGCTCACTGCAACCTCCGCCTCCTGGGTTCAGGCAATTCTCCTGCCTCAGCCTCCTGAGCAGCTGGGACTACAGGCACGCGCCACCATGCCCAGCTAATTTTTTGTATTTTTAGTAGAGACGGGGTTTCACCATGTTGACCAGGATGGTCTTGATCTCTTGACCTCATGATCCACCCGCCTCGGCCTCCCAAAGTGCTGGGATTACAGGCTTGAGCCACCGCGCCCGGCCCAGAGACCCTTTTTATTAAAATGAGCCTACTTGTTCTGTAAATGTTTATTTTAAAAATCAGCTTTGACAGTTTAATTTTCTGCAACTTAATAGTAAAAGGAAAATTATTTTTTATGTTGCAACCAAGTTCAATGCTCTCCTTTGGTCAATGTGCTTTAGATTTGAGGTCTTTGAACAGGGAACACAGTGTAAGGAATAGAATGTTTCATTGCTTAAGAAATGGCCTGAGATTAACTTTGTTGATGTAATTTATGAAACTTTTTTTTTTTACCATCAGTATTATCCTTTGAAAATATTGCCTTAAAAAGACCTCATATGCATAGCCTTATAAAGTAAAGTAGCATTTAATAACTTGGAAAGAACTAATTTTAAGAAAAAATGATGGTAACAGAGGAATAAATGGGCAAAAATGAATGATTACAAAGCCCGATGGAAACAACTGTTCAGCAAAACTTATGAAGGGAAATATGGTGACGTAATAGTCTTTTTCTCAATTCTGTTTCTTTGATCTTCCCTGTTGGCAGTGCTTATTCCTTTGAAACCAACGTTTTTGACCTCTGTTTTACCCTATCTCAGTTATAGTTGTAACTCCTTTTTTCCTTCATATTCCTATTGTCATTCCCTAAAGCTAGTCTTTTTCATCTCTTCAAATTTGCTTTTATTCGTCCATGTGACAGATATGTATTGAGGATCTTTTATAGATCCTTTGCCTTTCATTTATTTTCATAGTTGATATGTTTTCCTAGGATAGGGGACTTCTGAATTTAAATGTATAGGCTTGGCCTTTTAGGGAATGGAATCCGTAAGTTTTAGATATTTAAATTCACCACCTTTACATGAAAATAAATACTTGGTCAAGCCACTTTTAATCTGAGATGTCTTTGTGAGACATCTCAGATTTTCTCTGAAATCTCATATCTTGTCCAAGTGCCCTATGCCACCCACCCATTAGTACTTTTGACCAACTCTTTCCTGGGCTTTGGCCACAACTTCGTGACCCATTTCCTTGTCTAGTCACACCACTTCCCTGTTCTAAATTCTTCGATGGCTCTTCATCACTTATGGAAAAAATGCATTATATAAGAAATGTGTATGTGTAGGTATATGCAGACTCAGCATACCAGGGAGGCTATAAGACCTTTGCCTGCTTGTTCAGTTTTATCATCTAGCAGTCATCTTTGTGAATCTGTTACTTAAGTGCCCTAATACATATATTGTACCCTAGCTTAGCTTAGGCTGTGGTGATGTATATATTTCTCTTTCTCTGTAAAATACAATTTTTTTTCCTTTACCTCTCTGCTTACTAGAATCCTGCTAATACTTATTGCAAGCATTTCCTTGTTTGAGAAGTTTTTCCTTCCCTAGGCTCCCCTGGGAAGACTTAGCTGTTCCTTCCTCTTGACTTCCTTTGTACTAGGTTCATAATTTAGAGCTTTGTGATTCTAGGGATATCTGTAACCTTGTTTCCTCATCCGTACAATAGAGTTTATAGAGATTTATTGAAAGGAATAGAAGAGGTAGTGCATACATAGCATTTAAAACAATGCTATGTTTAATAAGTAGTAGCTGCCATTACCATTGTTATTTACTTAGCACTTAACAGATTATTATACTGTTTTTTCCTTATTGTGTTCCCTTTCCCTGTTGTAGTGTTTGGCATGTTATCGGCACTCTGTAAGTATCTTCTGAATGAGAACTGATAAAATCCTTTTCTAGGCTGATGGACTTAATGTCTGTAAACACACGATACTTATTTTTGTCTCCATTGTTTGTTCATGTTTATTTTCTTCTGTCTGGACTGTCTTTGGAGGAAAAGACTATGTTATCACTAAATTTAGCCAAAAATGAAAAACTAAGGAATTAAAAAACAAAAAAGGAAACCCTTCAATTAATAAAATTTCATGCCATAAAATGCTTTCACTGAACACACGTTACTCAGGATTTGGTAATCTCATGTCTAAATTGAGGAAGATTTGAACAAAAATCTAGAGTCTGAGGGTGTGGTGAGATAGGAGAAACCGAAACAAATTAGGTCTACTGAGAGTAAAAGTGACATTGGCAATAAAAAATGAATGAATAAAAGATAGATAAACATACTACAAAAGTTAGCGTAAGACTAATAATATAAAGATCACTCTTCAACTCAGTAGTCATCATTTTATTATAGCATAGTACAGAAATTGGTCATAGTTTTGATGTCAAGACATCAAAAACAGATCAGTGTTCTTTCATTAAGGAGGTAGTGAGATGCCAACATAAGCTTTAAACAATTTTCATCTAAACTGGAAAAAAAAAAAAAAAGCAAGTTTAACAGTCAGGAGAAAAATCTGTAGCTCCCCAGAAAACTCTCTAGAGGTTTACTATCTGAGATGGTAGCCACTAGTCACAAATGGATATTTAAATGCAAATTGTAATTAATTAGCATTAAACAATACTACAATTTTGGTTCCTCAGTTTCACTACCCACATTTCAAGTGCTCAGTAGCCATATGTGGCTAGTGCTACTCTGTGGACTAATGCAGATTTACAACATTTCCATCCCTTACACAATGCTAGGAAGCTCTGCCATACAGCCCATTTGTGGAACATTTTATTCCCTGGAAACTTTATAAAAATAACAATAAACAATAAAGAAAAGTAGAGAATAAAAACAACACTGGAGCTAAGTCCAATGGTGGCATTTGGTAATTATTATTATTGTTATTTTTTGAGACAGTCTTGCTTTGTCACCCAGGCTGGTGTACAATGGCATGATCTCAGCTCACTGCAACCTCTACCTCCTGGGTTCAAATGATTCTCCTGCCTTAGCCTCCTTAGTAGCTGGGATTACAGGTGCATGCCACCAAGACTGGCTAATTTTTGTATTTTTAGTAGAGATGCAGTTTCACCATGTTGGTCAGGCTGATCTTGAACTCCTGACCATGTGATGCACCTGCCTCAGCCTCACAAAGTGCTAGGATTACAGGCGTGAACCACCAGGTCTACCTGGCACTTAGTAATTATTAAATGGATTTTTAAAAATTTTATGGTATTCACTTTTTTAATTAAAGAAAATAAGAGAGTAATCACTATTTGAACCAGATATTTAATGCTTGCAACCATATCATCATTAAATATTAAGTCACATCAAATAATACTTATAACCTTAAACTCTGTTAGATAAACTTTGCTTTTTTATGGCAGATGGTTAGGACTTTGAGGGAAAGATCATTTAAAATTTGAAAACTGGATTGTTTGTAGGAATTGCAGTGCAACAAAGTACGTGAAAATCAGGTTTCAATAGAATGTGACACAACGTGCAAGGAAATGAAGCGGAAAGCATCTGAGGTAATGTCTTGTTAAATATTATTTTAAAGGCTAATGGCCTTTCCTTCTTATATTGTGCATTTACTTATGTGTTTGTTAAAAACAACTTGAAATCACATCTTTTTGCTTTTATAATAAAAGCCTAGTTTTATAGGCCAATTTTGAATGGGAGATTGGGATTTTTATTGCCTGGTGTATACCAAGGATTTTCATCTTCTATGCCCATTAATGTATTTGCTTTGTGACATAGTTTATTTTAATGTTAGTGTAAGCCCCTGAAAATTAGGTTAAAATAATACAAAAATAAGATTTTGGGATTCTGCTGCTTGGGTTATCGCTAGTGTTACTGTTTTCCTCCATCAATCCAATCAGCGACCTCTTGATTTTGTTTAAAAGTAAGGATTCCCTTCCATGATAGTACATTTGAGATAAATTTAACTTAGGGAAACAGCAGTATTTAATAATTCTAGATTCTTAATACAGTAACTCAAGAGGAAAAAGGTAATTTTAAAATTTGTGTCTATAGTTTAACTGTAAAATTTGTGTTTACAGTTTAACTTTAAAATTTGTGTTTAGCTCTTTGAATTATGATGTAACATCTATTTTACTTGTTAAGAGCTGAAATGTTTATATAAGGTATAACACTCCATCCATCACCACCTTTAATCTATTAGATAGTGCCTTGATAAACCTTGTCTCAGTATAATATTTAAATTTCTTTAAATGGTTTCAAGCTCCTAAAAGTTGATATGGGTTAATAGAACCTGAGTGGGTAGATGATAAAATTTTATATAAAATGTGATGACTAAATTGTAAATTTACTTTGAATGTGTATAAACAGATAAAAGAAGCAGAAGCCAAAGCTGCTTATGAAGAAGAAAAACGAAGACAACAGGTAACCAAACAAAATACCCAGATTTATGTCTCTTAGCATCATTGTTAGATTTTTTTGCAAACACAGGGTATATTCCAAGTTCAAACTAAGGACTAGTTTACTGTATTGTGAAGTGAAAATAACATAGTTCCTGGAAAACAAAAATGAGCCATCTCCTACCTTCACTTTAAGTATACTGAAACTCTGAGAAGGTGGGAGATCTCACATATTCCCAAAGATTTTTTATATTTCCAATTTACTTTCTTGCCAATATCATCCATCATTCAGCTATAAGAATTTTAATTCCTCTTTTGGTTGGGGAGTGAGAGAGAATCATCACCATTGTAAGCCATCTTCTGGAGACCATAACGTTACTCATCTAAAAGTATTTGAGTTCTATTTTACTGAGTTGCAGACCACCTGTAACAAATAAGAGCAGTTTAGTAATCAATACGTTTGTTTTATTAATACATTCCCATATTTCCCTATTAGATCTTTAAATGCAGGATTATTACCTGCACTTTGTTGTTACCTAGATAACAAGTACATTCCTGATACTCCCTGTTTAAGTATTTACTTTATTGATCATATACTTCAAAGAGTGGCTCGACTTTCTAATAGTGATGTACGACTTTTTATTATTATTTGTCAGTTTATATCTTGAGATGCTTTATACTTAACAAAGCAGATTGTGTTGTGTACTGCCTTTATGAATGATGAGATTGAAGCTTGCCTGATTTGCATGAATGAGGAAATTCAAACTTTGATGAGTTGTAGGAGGACATTAGAAACAGTTCATGTAGCAAATAATGGTTGGCCAAGATGACCTTTGAGATTTTATGGTTCTGTAAAGTTGATTTGCCTGATATCCCCAAAATATAGGTTGGCTGGAATCCTAGGAGATTAAGTTATTAAGAATAGTGTGTTTCCTCCTTAGTCCCTTTGCTACCTTTTTATTAACCATCATGGATGAAAATCTTAGATACATTCCCTGTTTACGGACTCTTTAAGCAGGATATAATCAGTCCTCAGTATATGCAGGTTCTGCATCTGTGGATTCAACCAACTACAGATTGAAAAAATTTTTTTTAAAAAGTATAAAAATACAACAATAAAAAAACACATTTTAAAATACAGTGTAATACCTATTTACATAGCATTTACGTTATTAGATATTACAGGAAATCTGGAGTGATTTAAAGTATACAGGAAGATGTGTATATGTTATTTGCAAATCCTTCACTATTTATATAGAGACTTGATCATCCTCAGATTTTGATATCCAAGGGGGATTCCCACAGATACCGAGGAATGACTATATACAGTACATAATATATACCTGGTGACTGTGAGTCACCATATAACCATAAGTTACTTTACCATATCCGTGGTCTTCAAGTTTGCCTGCTTTTAAGGTATTTTGACATTTTTCAATATGTCAGAAACTAACTACTTGGGAATAATCCGACATTTTGGCTCATTCTAGAATGCCACTTTGTATTAAACTAAGTTTATTAGATCTTTTTCAAGTGTGGCTTATGACCACAGTAATGGATATGTGAACTAAAGTTTACATTTCCTTCTATTAAATAACTATTTACATAGTTTTATTTGGATATTATTAAGTACATATATATTTTAGTAACTATTGTCTTAACTATGCACTATAGCATATCATATTACATTATTTATAAAAGTTTAATAAGTTCTTGGCAGTAGGATAAAAATCCACATTTGATATTGAATGTAATTCAGTTATCTTCTTTTTAGTACTAGTTTAAAATTTTTACTTCTAAAATAGTCATTTTGATTTTAAAGCATGAAGTGTTTTTTCCTTTGAAGAATTTTTACTGTATTAAAAATTGCATTTGGTAGAGAATCAATTTCTGGCAGCTTTTTTTCTCTTTACTCACTTGAATTTCTTTCTTAAAAGCCACTAATATTTATTATATGCATTGTAAACTACTAGAATTATAGATACCTTTATTCTCACTAGATATCACAGCACTTGCTTATAGAATCCTGGTTCTATAATAATGGAGTTGAAGTATAATAGTGTCAATGAATAAAACCAGGGTCTATATGTTAGAGCACGCTGATTTAATCAGACATTTTAATATGTAGCGTCATAGTCAGCTCTACAGTTTGAAATAATTTCTTCTATTATGCCCCAGTCTCCTTTCTACTTACCTAAACCCTGAATTTGTTGAATACAATTAGTAGTGGAGAATGGTGTCTTAAAAACTCAAATCAGTATATTGAATATATATCATTACTATTAAAATATTACCCAAATTGATTTTATGTAAATGGAAAGTTTCAAGTCAATGTATGCATTGAATTTAATTAAAATGATGCTGTTTTTATTTAGGCTGAACTAGAAGCTTTTGAAAACAGACTGAAGGGTCGTCGGAAGAAGAGCAGGAAAAGAGATGAAGTGGCGGTTGAGCTATCACCATGGCAGAAACATAAATATTATCTCCTTTCAGTGTGTGGAGTTGTGGTTGTAATGTTTGCATGGTACATCACCCATGATGTGGATTAAAAAATGTTTTGATCTTTTAATATAACTCAGATTGGATTTAGATAAGTTGTTAAATTTGGAATATTATAAAATGTATATTATAGAACATGGTATATTTGCATTCATCTATGTATTCTCTTTTAGCTATTGTTAGGACAGAATGTTAAACTTTATCTTAATTAGTATACTAGAAAGGGCAGTATAACACTGTTTAAAGTGAAAGCATGACTGAAATTGTAAAATATTTCGTAAGGCTTAGCTAGAAGCAGAGTAATATGTTTTTGTTCATTGGGCTTCCTTGTACTAATTTAGTTTTTTCATTTAATATTTCAAACCAACACATTTTTAAAAAATAATTCAGATGAAACTGAGCCATATGTTCAGTAAGAGGAATATTTCTTAATGTTTTGGTTACTTATCATAGGGTACTTTTCTTGATCTTATTAACTTTGTACTTTTTTAAAAAAGTGATTCTCTAACAGACCTCTTAAATTGTGACATGAAGGTATATAACTAGATTTTAGAAATTGGTTTATTAGTGAGGAATTTTTATCAATAAATGTCATGTGGTGTGTTCTTCAGAAAATACAGTTATTTTCAACAGATGCCAGGCTAGATTCCTCACATGTGGCTATTTCTTATGTAAGAAGCTTTTAACTGAAGTTGGCATGTTTCATAAAACTTCTATGTATCTTTTAAAAATAAGAGTAAAAGGAAAATGAATATTTATGCAGAATATGTACTGACAACAAGGCTTATGAGCTTTATGTACTTTAATCTCATTTCTCCTTACCGCAATCCTAAATAGATTTCAGCTGAAAATAATCAATTCTTATGAAAACAAATAGAGAAGTATCAGTAAGTCTAATCTGTTTGAATTATATTTCATTTCAAATAGTTTTGCTATTTAATTTATATGATTAATGTTTTCATTAAAATTTTTCATACCAAATTTGTAATCTGGAATATTTATTATTATCTAAAATATTCAGGAGCCTATAATTTTAAGTTAGGCATTAGTATCAATGTATAAAATTCTAATACTTCATGTGGAAGACAGTCACTGATAGATACCTAAAAGTATCTAAAAAGTGGTAGAAATGTGTTTTAAACAGAAGTAGGAAGAAGGATTTTAAAATTTTGCTGAGATAGAGTCTTGCTCTGTTGCCCAGGCTGGAGTGCAGTGGTGTGATCTCAGTTCACCGCCACCTCTGCTGTCTGGGTTCAAGCCCAGCTAATTTTTTTTTTTTTTTTTTTTTTTTTAGTAGAGATAGGGTTTCTCCACGTTGGCCAGGCTGGTCTCAAACGCCTAGCCTCAAGTGATCCATTCACCTCACCCTCCCAAAGTGCTGGCATTACAGACATGAGTCTCTGTACCTAGCTCTTAAGTATTAGCTTGTGTCCAGAATTAAAGGACAGTCATTCCTTTCTTCATGGGTGTTTTGATTTTAGAATTTTTAACCTTTCCTGTGACAGAATTACAGTGTTGGCATTTTAGAAGCCCTAAATCAGATATACTACACTCAAGTTATTGCCTATGCTGACTAAAGTTGAGTGTTAAGGGAACAACCAGGTGTCTACATGGGAAGTCATTACTATCTATAATCATTATCATCTATGTCAGAACCTGGGCCTATTAAGTGAGCATGAGGCCTACTTCATATCTGTTGTTTGTTGGGCTTCTGTTCTTGCCAATTTTTTTTTTCCTAATTTGTGGAGAAGAATTTAGGAGCAGAAGAAGGAGACTAAATGAATGATATATAAAGTTGTTTGTTGTTTAAGTCATACAGCTATTCCTTCACTTATTCAGTCCACAGATATGTTTTCTATATGTCAGGAACTTTCTATGTTCTGGAGATAATGGTAATCTTTCTTCCTATATTGTTGCTTAGGCAGAGACAAACACAGGCAGGAAATAGACATAAAAAAATGAACATGATTTTATGTGTGGTAAGTAGTATTTAAAAAAATAAGAGGAATGGTATATATAGAATGTGGTGAAAGTAGGGGGTGCAAAGACACTGGCTAATTTAGAATGGGAAAACCTTTCTGAGATGGGGACATTTGAGCCATGACCTGAATGACCTCCATTTGAATCTGTGAAAAATGTATGAGAGAAAGCAGCAGGTACAAAGTCCCTAGTTTGGGAATTGCTTGGCACACCTGAGGAGCAGAAGGGTTGGTGTGGCTGGAGCCTAATGAAATTTAAATTGAGAGGGGGATATGTCTAGGCCAGTTTATGTCATGCTTGATAGACCAGGATAAGAAATTTGAATTGTATTTGAGTTGCAATGGACAGCATTGGAAGGCTTTAAGCAGGGAAGATACTTTTTTTTTTTTTTTTTTTTTTTTTTTTTTAAGACTGCTGGCTATCATATGGAGAAAAGACTAATGTGCAGGGATAAGTTAAGTTTTATCTGAATACTTACACTAATTTGTTCTGAGGAAAATAAAGTAATGCATATTGTCCTTTTAGCTTCAATCTGGGCCAATTAGAGAAGGAATGGGAAAAGTTACCAGATAGCTACTAAGAATGGCCTAAGATTGTGAATGTGATGGTCTTGTTTTCCTACTTACTTATGGCATTAACAAAGTGTATTAGCTTCCTATTTGAAATTTGTGGAATATGTATATTGAAATCTTTAGAGATTTTTTGTTTAAACACTTTTAGGGTTTGACACTTAGTGTTTGTATTTCAGTTAATTTCACTATTCACATCTAAAGTAAATGAAAACAATCTCAGATAAGTATATTGCTGCTAAAATCGTCAAAGGAACTTTACTAAGGCAAAGCAGTGAAAACATTTGCCTTCTATAAAGAAGTTTTGATGCTTGAGCTTCATGGCTGTGAAGATTAAAATTTTTAAGTACAGATAAATCTCTGTGCTACTGTATAGAGAGCGATGACATATAAGAATTTTTGGTTCTTCATGTTATTTTAAATGCCCATGAGTAATACCAGAAACAGACTTTATTTGGAAATAGGTATATTATTTAAGACAAAATTTGAAGAGATTTAGAGTGTTCCATTTATCTTTGAGAAATTTTTTTTTTCTTTGTTTAGATACCTGGCACAGTGAACTCAATAGAAGACTCTGTCCTTACTGTGCATACAGTCTGTGTTGGGGGTTCTTCCACATAAGCAAATAAGTGAAGATTAAGCCAGGCTGAGAGCAGTGGGAAAGAAGGGCCACCCATGTGGGGGATCTAGCTCACTGCTAAGGGTGACTTTTTGGGGTGCTTGGACCTCATCCATCCTTTTATAATCAAGATTATTAAAATAATGGGATATACTTTATGCTGATCTCCAGAAGAACAAAGGATTAGTGGGTGTTAAACCAAGAATACTAAAGGTACAGCAGTAGTTAAAAGTGCTGTGACCAGGTATAGGGAAGAAAAGGGAAGGCTGTAAAAAGAACCTCTGAGGACCCAGGTGACTCTAGCTGTTAATGTCTGCCTGTCCTTGGGCATTGGGAACTGAAACAGATGTCTAAGCTGTAGAGCTAGAGTTGACATGAGATAGCTCTGTCTCATCTTGGGTCTGTGGAAGTTGCCCTCTTTGTTGAGTGGCAGTGATTAGGCCACTGTAAGACCCAAAGCTTATGAGGTTGAGGAGCTTCACAGGGTGAGGAAGAAGCAAAGTACTGGCTACTACTTCCTAGAAGAGATGTGAGAATTTGGGAGTGTGGGAGGAAGCGAGAGACCCTGTGATCTCCAGCAACTTAAGAGACAGGCAAGACCAGCTATCCACCTGGGAAGCCATTTTCATATATTTTAGAATCTGGGCATATTGAGCAAGTTCAGGTCTATTTCTTACCGAGCTGCTATTGTTGCTAAATTTCCAATTAGTATTTTAAGTTGTGCCGTGAAGGATTATATGCAGTTTGAAACTCCACAGTCCAGATTCATTTGAGTTAACACCCCTGTATTCCATGTATGTACACTCTTAATATATCACCGAATATTTCCAAAGCCCTTCTAGTTACTTTCATCTGGTCATCCTCCATCTTCTCACAATACTTTTTCCTCATAGCACTAAATAGTACCTGTCCTTATATTAAGTGCCTATTTATTATCTACCTCTTTCCCTGGAATGTAAACTCCATGAGGGCAGGAATGCAGTTTCATTTATTACTATAACCCTAGAGTAGAGAACCAGGCCTGGCCACATAGTAGATGCTAGTATTTGTTTCCTAGGGCTGCTGTAACAAATACTATATACAAGTGGCTTAAAACAATGGAAATTTATTCTCTCACAGTTTAGGTGTCCAAAAGTCCCAAACCAAGGTGCCAGCAGGGTTGGTTCTTTCTGGAGGCTCTGTGGGTGGCCCATCTTTCCTACTGCCTTCTTAGCCTGGCTTAATCTTCACTTATTTGCTTATGTGGAAGAACCCCCAACACAGATCATATGCGTAGTGAGGACAGAGTCTTCTATTGAGTTCACTGTGCCAGGTGTCTAGACAAAGAAAATGCCTCTCTTGGCGTCTGGCAGTGGGTGGCAATCCTCCGTGTTTCCTGGCTCATAGCACATCATTTCAGCATCTCCATCTTCACATAGCCTTCTACTCGGTGTCTCTGTGTGTCCTTTTCTGTCTCCTAGAAGGATCATCTCTTTGGATTTAGGGCTACCCTATTCTAATATGATTTCACTGTAACAAATTATATCTGCAAAGACTTTATTTCCACAGAAGGAAGGTGACATCCTGAGGTTCTGGGTGGACATTAGTTTGGTGGGGAGTGGTGTGGCGATACTAACCTACTACAGTGCTCAGTAAATATTTACTGGGTGAATGATAATTCAGAGTGCAATTCTAAGCTGTAAACTCCTTGGACATTTTCATCACTGTTAATCATTGCTACAGAAGGTACAGATTAGTTTGTGGTCCCAGATTTCTTAGGCTCCAATTCTGCTTCTACCACTTTCTAGTTGTGAGATCTTAGGCAAGCTCTTTAACTTTGTGAGCCTCAGTTTCCTCTTCTGTAAAATGGTGACAATAAGAATTAACAAGTGCCCAGTAAGTTTTAACTGTTATTATGTGTCTACAACTATTTTAAAGCACTTTCTATATGTAATCCTCATAATATATGAGGTGAGCCTATTACACTTCTCATGACAAAGGAAACTAGATTTGTTTCAAGAATTAAAAATCTAGAAAATTATATATCACTTCATGAAGTGCCTGGCACATAGTACATAGACCAGCTTAGCTGCAATAATATAGATGAGTGACTTTACCTCATATCTTTAAGACTTCTCAAATTGATTCACAAATCAGAAAAAAAAATTTGTGAGGTGAGGCATCTTACTTTTTGCACATATGGTCACTGTCATTGACGGGCTGCATCCCTGGGAGGACTAAGTAGGATGCTGGCCAAAGGTAGGGGCATATTGAGGCAGTGAAATTGCAGTACAGGACCCCTCTGGAGTACTAGATGTGTGAGAGAGCTAAAAATAAAATTCCTTTGACATTTCTTACGGGTCAGTTATTATCTCCTTCTTAATGACTACTATGGTATATTAGAATCGGGGATTGATGTCCCAGAAATATTATGTACAGCAAACAACATCTACATGAATTGCTTTTAGCAGATACTGAATATGTCAATGGGCTAGAGTGTATTATGGTAGATGTGGGTATGTTCTTTTCCCCATTTTGACCAAACTCTCCCCTCTCTGCAACAGGTAAATTTCCAGTTTACCTGTTTCTTGCTGTTTTTATTTTTATTTTTGGAAGGCTTTGAGTCTTTATATCTCAGCTGAAATATATCTTTACATGTTTGTGTATTTGTTTAATACCCTCCACAAGGCTGAAAGCCTTGGTGAGTGCAGGAACTCTGTCTAGGTTGTTCATCTGGCAGCCAGCAAGCCCAAAATAAGTATAAGTTGAATGAACAGCTAGATGAGCCATGGCGTAGCCTGTTTTAGCTACTGCTTGCATGTTATCATCTTGGGATGCTGCTTGCTTCTCCAAGATCTTTCTTGTTCTTAAATTGTCTTCAGTTGTAGTACGAAGTACTAATTTGTTCTGTAATGTGATTTGTTACCAAAGTTTGCTCTGTAAAATCACCCTTTCCTGAGGTGTATTCAATACCTTTAATGTTTCCATAAATCTCTTCAAGGTTTGTGTGTTTTTCTTTTGAATTCTCTAGTTGGTTGATGTATGCTTGAAGTGCTAGATAATGAAAGTTTCAGTAGGCTAGAAATGTTTCTTTTTTGTGAAATTATTTAAAGAAACTAGATGATGGTTGGCACTTGAAGCTGAAATGCAAACATAGCTAGTTTTTTTTAAAGAATAATTCAGATAGGTCATTAAAGGGGGATCACTATGAGCACACTGCATATTCAAATCAGTTTGAATATGTTTTGAGGCTTCTAACAGTTTTATGATTCTTTATATTTTAAAAGTTTATTCCAAAGAATATAAAATATCTTTACCCTCTTTTTTTCATATCATCACCCTCATGCAAAGAATACCTCAGCTATTCATTCTGGTACTGTTGGTAACTAGAACTGGTTGGGTTTTCTTGCTAAAAGGAGGTTTAACAAATGTTTATTTTATACCACTAATGCAGTTAGCTTTAGTTGTCAGAGGAACTAAAAGTGGGAAAGTGAGGGAGACTGATCGACCCTGTCTATCTCAAATCCACTCACTTCGCTACTTTAATTTCATAGTCCCTGTGGCACCTCCACCGGAGGGCAGAAAGTGGAAGAGAAAGGAGATGAAATAGAAACTTGCCCTTGGTTTGAGAATGCCTGTAGAAACCTCAGCAATTGAATCCAACCCTCATGTTATATTGTGAGTTAACTGTGCCCCAGAAAGACTATGTGATTTGCCTACAGTGGAGCTGTCAGATGAATTTCCTAGGTTCTTGATTCCCAGACTGGCGCTGCAGTGATGGTGTGTGATGAGGTAGTATCTTAGTAAGAATACAATCCAGGGGCCGGGCGCGGTGGCTCACGCCTGTAATCCCAGCACTTTGGGAAGCCGAGGCGGGTGGATCGCGAGGTCAAGAGATCGAGACCATCCTGGTCAACATGGTGAAACCCCGTCTCTACTAAAAATACAAAAAATTAGCTGGGCATGGTGGCACGTGCCTGTAATCCCTGCTACTCAGGAGGCTGAGGCAGGAGAATTGCCTGAACCCAGGAGGTGGAGGTTGCGGTGAGCCGAGATCGCGCCATTGCACTCCAGCCTGGGTAACAAGAGCGAAACTCCCGTCTCAAAAAAAAAAAAAAAAAAAAGAATACAATCCAGAAGTCATTGCCTCAGAGGAATACCAGCTCAGCTACTTGCTAGCTTGTGTAGGCTGGTTACTTCAACTCCCTGAATCCGCTTTCTTATCTCAAAAAGACAATAATAGCATCTTTCTCAGAGTAGTTGGTGGAACTAAAAGAATACATGTAAAGTGCTTAGTACAACACCTGCCACATAGAGCTGAATTACTGTGAATTATGATAAATTTGTCAGATACTGGTTTACGAACCTGATGTTGGAATAATATGGAATCAGTGTTTCAGTTATTTTACTATATATATGCAATACTTTCTATATTTGATCTCATTTCAGAAACAAAATACTGATTCCCCCATTTTACAAATGCATAGTTTTTTCTCAGCAATAATATTTAAGAACCAAGTGCTTGGCACATATATTGTTGTCTTATACATGGCTTTCTTTAAATAATGGGGATGGATTTATTCAATAACCTCATGAGTAATTTTTGAAATTTCCATTAAGATCTTTATTGAAATTGGATGAAAAATCATTTCTAAGAAAAACTCAATGAAGTGTCTTTCTTTGCCACATTTGACAATTGTGTTGGACTTGGTAAAGTAATCATTACCAAGGCCAGTATCTCCAGTGCCCTCCTTGACGCTGCGTTAGAAAAGGTAGCTGCTTCTGAATGACAGAAAGGCAAGAATTTGTTTGCCTTTTAGGTTCGGCCTGTGGGTGCCCACTGCAGGAAATCAGGAACTAGGTTATTGGAAGCAGTTAAGGTGGTGTTCTCCCTTGTCTCTGCAGCCTCAGCAAAGACTCAGGCAGTCTGGCAAAAGCAGTTTCTTCAGCATACCTAACAGAAGGCAAGTTTCCGTATGCCTGATGCAAATAACGCTCGCCCTTTAAACATTAAACCTTTTTTGAGATAAACTTGGTCTTTAATTGCTAGTGCCTGCAGTTAATTTTGATTTTTTTATTGGCTACATTCTGGTTAAAAGAAAATGCTCTAGGATGTGATATGGAAAATTTGGAGAAAAGTAACTCTTTTGCTCCCACTCATCCACAACTTAAATTGAATCGGTCCTGTCCTTTTCTGCTGCCCTCGTGGAGTGTAAGTTTTTGGAGGAGACCAGCAGAAATTGGCTTTCTATATGCCCCTGAAGAATTAACTTCTTTGAACGCAAATTGGTGAGGACATGGAGGATCTGTCATTAAGGGTTATTATGGGTGGGACCCAGAGACGAGAGTGAAGGGAGGGTGTGGTCCGCGGGTGGGATCTGTAGAGCAGATAAAATATGGGGCCCCTGGCCCTTGAAGTTCAGTGTGTGTGTGTCTCTCTCTCTCTCCTGAGCTTGGAGAAAGGCATCCGTAGCGCCTCCCTGGGGGACACGTAGAGGAGAGAAAAGCGACCAGGATAAGAGTGGACAGAGGAATAAGCAAGGCTTGTTCTCCATGAAACAGCCCCCTGCTCCGGAAGAGCGCTACCGCACAGCCGGGTCCCCAAAGCCGGTAAGATCCAAGATTCGCTGCCCTACCACAGCCAGGTCTGATGTCCTCTTCTTAGTCCTGGTGAATTCAGGGTCGGCCCCTCCCGCCCCTGTCCTCTCCTCCGCCCAATGCCACCTCCTTCCCCTGCAGTCGGTGAGCTCCGGCTCTGACAGTCCCGCGCTCAGCACCCTGCACCCAGTCCCTGGTCCCGACCTCCACCCGGTCGCCCGGCGTCCGAGACCCTCCCAGGGTCATGGGCAGGGTTTCCTTCAGCGTTCGAGTTGGCTTGATCCAGAGACCCCGGTCCCCACGCCGTGGGCGATGCCACCTTTCCTGCAGAGACCCTCCTCTGCACGGTGCCCTCCATGCCTCTAGTGGACTTGGCTGCGCACTGGCGGCAGCGGAGGCTGCAGATGGAGCTGTCGGAGCCGACCCCTCCACAATCCACGGCTTCCTCTCCGCGCCGGTGTCGCGGGCGCCCGGTGGCTGGAAAGACTGCGCGGCAGCCTTGTCTGGCCCAGACGTAAGCCCCCTTCCCCAGCTGCGCGCGCCTGGGTCTCGGTCCCTCCACAGTCCCGGCTCGCGCTCGGTACCCCGGCCCCCAGTTGGTGCCTGGGGATCACTCGCCCTTCCTAAGCGCTGGCACCCCAGAACTGGCCCTCTTGCAGAGTGCTGGGAACTCGTAGGTCCCTGCGCACAAACTTTCTCCGGCGTGTACCTGCCTAGGCAGAGGAGCGCTGGCCGCCGGGGGGCGCAGGCTCTGCGCTGTAGGATTTGGCTGGCTCCGATTCAGTGTCGGAAAGGGACAGCGTTGCCTCTTGTTCAGGAGAGGAAAGAAAGGGAAGACTACCACGGACAGTCCCCACTGGCCTGAGCCCCCAGGAAGCGGGTCTAATTTGCGGATGCCCCTCTCCGTCGGTGTCATGAGGGCCCCGGAATCCGCTTGCTACCGCGAGGGTCCCAGCTTCTCCGAAACGGGGACCTGCCGGTGACGCTTGCTGCAGGCAGAGGGCGGGCTGTGAGGGCGGAAGGGAGGTGGTGTCTTGTAGGATCTTACAGGTACTCAGTTCCCCGGCTCCCGTGGCGGGCGCCCGACTCCCGGTGCTACCTGGTCGGTCGGGGCCAGTGGATAGCGGTGTAGGCGCTTTTTGCGCGGCTTTCCGTTCCTGAGACCCAGCCCTGGGCGCTCTATGAACTCAGCAGGGAAGCTGCAGGACTGGGCATTCCCAGGGAACGTGTTTCAGTAATTCATAAAGTGGAGCTTTCCTCCAGCGGGACACTTCTGAGAACAATGCACTGCCAAGACGGACTCCTGTACAAAACTTCGACTACTGACATATGCACAATTGTGGCTTCTAGTTTTTATTTTAATTTTTTATTTAAAGTAACTTATTGATGGAAGCAAAACTCTGCAAACGAACGTCAGACCGCTACCAGAAAGGGGGTGAAGTCATAACTTTCTGGTGGTTATTGTCCAAGGACAAATTTAAGCAGATAGTTTTGAAATTAAAGATACCACAAAACATTAATTTTGGCATAACCCTGAGGCAATGAGAAGAAACAGTGCATTTATAAAAAGTTGTTAAACCTTTTTTTTTTTTTTTTTTTTGTCACAGTCAAAACATTCACTAGCTTGTTTCTGTTATTAGGTGCCCAATAATTTTGTTGTGTGAGACTGTGCTAAAAATTGGTCCTCAGGTCCTGGGGCTTGAGAGGCTAGAAGAGGCTCCTGGGGCTTGAGAGGTTAGAGGAGGCGTCTGCATAGACTCACATCTGCGCTTGGCTGACCAGTCAGTTTTCCAAAGCATACCAGAATGCTTTCCAGGACACCAAGAATTTCAATAGGATGAACTATTTTTAGGGTTATCTGGGTGTGGAATCACATCAACCTCAAAACCTCAAGATTATATAAGCCCTTTTTTAAGGGGAGGGGACTCTTTCCAGAAAGTTCCTTTCAGGGTAGGCTTACAGGACCAATGATGAATGCCTCTGTTAACCTTTCAGTGGGTTAAAGCAACAAACTGAGAATTGCTCTATTAACCTCATCAAGCACATACATATTCAGGTTTAGGGACACTATTTTTTAAAAGATGCAAAACTCATTCCTTTAGAAACCTTCATAATACTGCGGAAATCGCAACAGCAACACATAGAAGGCAGGCATCAGTGCTTCCGCATCTTGCATTCCACCACCAGTTGTGGTTTCCTTTTGGGAGAGTCACATTTTCCACCATAGCTTCATGTGGATTTCAGCATTTGCTAGCTCTATTGCCTGGCCAGCGCCTCAGTTGACCCCCTCACCACTGTTGGGGGCAGACAGGTAGTTAGAGGAGAAGCTGAATGGCCCAGGAACTCCAGAGAGTTAGCATAGTCACTTTCCAAAGCCTGTACTTTCAAATCTCCATGCTGTTAATGAGGTACTCCTTTCCTTATTTTTTCTCTTTTCTGCTCTTCTAGCTTCTTTCAACACAAAGACTTGCGGTCTTAGGGTTTCTGAGTGTCTACACTGCTGGGGTAACAGGAGTTCTCTGAGGACTAGGAGAGCTGTAACAGAGAAATGTTCCTGAGTGTATCTGAGGGGGAAGGTTTGTTTGACCTGCTAATTCTACCTAATAAGTTATTCAACAAGCATGCATTCATGCATCTGTTAGTCCTATAACTATTCTTGACATTCCACTTTGCTGGACCAAATGGAAAATGAGGCTGGCTGGCTAAAGAGTACTGACCCGATTCTGGCTAGCTAAACATACAAGGTTCACACTGAATACTCAAGGGATTCCCAGACTTACCTGTTCCTCAGAGTCTACACATTCACGCAAACACATACACACACAGACACTTTTTTGTTTTAGGTTTGTTCAGAGAGGGTGGAAATAGTAGGCACCTTAAGAGTAAAAGGTGCTGTAGATGGCCTGCCTTGGTGGGAAGAGTAAGAGCTTTGGTGTCAGACCTCTGACTCTGCCCCTTAAAAACGGCAAGGCTCTGGGCAAGTCAAATTATCTTCTTGCTGGGCTCAGTTTCCTTGAAACTGAGAAAATGGAGATGACATTACTGACCACTGGTAAGGACACTGTGGATTATGGAATCTGTACTAGAAGTACTTTATGTAATAGTGTTATATTCCAATGAAGTTTCCCTAACCTTTTTTTTTTTTTAACTACTTTATTGAAGTTTTGGCAAACAAAAACCTGTACATATTTAATGTAAATAATAAGTTTGGAAATAAGTATGCATCTATACAACCATCACCACAATTAATGTCATAAACCTATCCATCATATTCAAGAGTTCCCTTCTGCCATCTTTATTATTATTATTATTATTTTGTTATAAGGACATTTAACATAAGATCTACCCTTTTAGCAAATTTTTAAGTATAGAATATACTATTGTTAACTACAGAAGCCATGCTGTGTAGTAGGCAAACCACTATTCTACTCTCTGCTTCTATGAGTTTGACTATTTTAAGATTCCTCTTTTAAGTGGGATCATGTAGTATTTGTCCTTCTGTGTCTGGCTTATTTCATTTAGCATAGCGTCCTCTAGGTTCATCTCTGTTGTTAGAAATGGTAGGATTTCTTTCTTTGTTAAGGCTGAGTAATATTCCATTGTATATATATACATACAATGTATATATACCCCATTTTTCTTTATCCATTCATCCATCAATGAGCATTAGGCTGCTTCCATGTTTTACAACTGAGGCAAAATATACCATTGAGGAAAGATATACCTGAGTGAATAATGCTGCAATGCCCATGGGAATGCAGATGTCCTTTCGGGATCCCAGTTTCAAATCTCTTAGTTACATAGCTAGAAATGGGACCATATGGTAGTTCTATACTGTATGTTGGTACCATATGCTGGATCATATGATAGTTCTATTTTTAATTTTTTTGAGGAACTTCCATACTGTTTCCCACAATGATTGCCCCAATTTACATTCTCATGAACCATATACAAGGGATTCATTTTCTTGGCATCCAACACTGTTATCTTTTGTTTTTTGATAATAGCCATCCTAACATCTTAATGGTGGCAAAGACGTGAAATCTCTTCGTGGTTTTCATTTGTAGTTCTCTGATGATTAGTAATATTGAGCATCTTTTCATATACTTACTGGCCATTTGTATGTCTTCTTTGGAAACATGTCTATTCAAGTATTTTGCCCATTTTTAAATCAGGTTATTAGCTTTTCGGCTACTGAATTGAAGGATTTCCTTATATATGTTGGATATTAATCCTTTATCAGATATAAGATTTGCAAATGTTTTCTCCCGCTTTATAGTTGCTTTTTCATCTTGCTGATCAAATCCTTTGCTATGCAGAAGATTTTTAGTTTAGTGTAATCCTAGTTAGTTATTATTGCTTTTTCTTTTTTGCCTGAACTTTTGGTGTCATATTCAAGAAATTATTGCCAAGGACAATGTCAAGATTTTCGCTTATGTTTTCTTTTAGGAATTTTATGGTTTCAGGTCTTATGCTTAAGTCTTTAATCCATTTTGACTTGATTTTTGTGCATGGTATGAGATAAAGGTCCAATTTTATTCTCTTCCACATGGATAACCAGTTTTCCCAGTACCATTTGTTGAAGACATATCTTTCCCCAATTGTATATTCTTGGCACCCTTGTCAACCATGTATGTGTGGGTTTATTTCTGGCCTCTCTCTTCTGTTTCATTGGCCATATGGCTGTTTTCATACCAGGACCATACTGTTTTGATTTGTGTAGCTTTGTAATCTATTTTGAAGTCAGGAGGTATGATACCTCTAATTTGTTTTGTTTTTCCTTGTTCACAATTGCTTTGGTGATTTATTTTCTAACCTGTTTTTAACTTGAGGAACCAGTCTCATCTCAGACTCATGAGGAGTATCTCAAGAATTTTTCCACTGGCAGCTTTCTGTGACTCCAGAACCATGCTATGCAGTGGAGTAGCTGCGAACCAGTGTGGTTGTTTAAATTTAATCAACATTAAATCAAATTAAAAATGTATTTCTTCAGTCTCCTTGGGCATATTTTA